TTTAGTATGCATAGCGTGCATTTATGTTATGAATATTTTATGTCAGATACACATAGGTAAATAAAATTTTTAAATGGGTATATATAAATTTACGTTTATAGTTCAGCATGTAAAAATGCCATTAAGTGTTTTTTAAAAATAAGTTTTTAAAATTTTAATATTTGAATTATTATTTTCGATAATGCGACATGATTTTGTATCGCATTTTAAAATGCATTTTATATGTCTAAAATAATTTCTGTTATATTTTTAATGAGAAATATTTATATTAATTGCCAATTAAATGTTTAAAGTAAAAAAATTAAATAATTTGTTACAACTTTTTAAATTCATTCATCTGATTATAAAGCGCAAAATTAAAAAAAAAAATAATGTCAAATTTATGTTTTTATTTACAATTATAAAAAATTACTTTAATTAATTTACTATTATGTAACAATTAATTTCATTTTCTCCATCATTTTAAATAATTTTTTTTTAATTTAAAATGTTTTTTGTTGTAAGAAGAGCTCGAACATTGATTGAATGTTTTGAATTTTTTAAGAAAAGATATTCATTTATTTTGTTTTAGACAAATCCCACGATAATCATTAATTTTCTTACCACAATTTAATGGCAGAATTTTAATTAAAAAAGTATTTATCAAAAATTAAACAATGTTTTATCGAATAAACAGTTTCTTTAAAAAAATATTTTAAAATTGAAAACATTTTTAAAAATTTATGTTTTTGTATTCTAAAACCGTAAAAATTACAAAGTTTAGATATAAATAATCTTAAAAATGAAGAAAAAAAATTGATATTTTATTTTATAAATAAATTCTCTTTACAAAAGTTTCATTTTTTGAAAAAAGTTTTTTTGAATTATCAAACAAGTTTTTGGCAACAGGATAAGTAAATTTAAATAAAAGTAAGTGAAAAAATAATTTATTTTAATTAACTGTTATTGTTTACTAGTTTAATTGTTGTTTCAAAATCAGTTCTACATGGTTAAATCTAAATTAAGATAACCTTTATCCTGTTCTACTCATCCTATTGTTTCATCAGGCAATATATTTAATCCATGTCAAGGTAAATTGTTTAAGTAAATTATGTGAATAAAAATAGTTATTTTTAGAAGAAAAAACCAAGAGAAACATTTTACAAAAGTAAAAACTCAAATTTTTATTTTTCTCTTTCTCTACACTTTTCTGAAATTAAAATACAGAATAAAAGAATAAAATAAAATATTTATTATTTTCACTACACAGAATCAAATTTGAATAATAAATTTACAATATTTTTACATTTTTATAATATTGATAAAATGTAAAAAAAATACAAAAAAATACAAAAAGTTGATATAAAAAGTATATTAATTTATAATTATTTTCACAAATAAGTGAGATATTTTATGTTATTAATGGATTTTCTATCTACTTTCTTTAATCCCAATGTGAAAATAATAACTATCATCGGCAATTAGGCTCGTTGATGAGCTAGCGAGCCGCGCCGCGCCGCGTCGCGCATCGCGCATATTATTTAATACTAATTTTCTATTACAGTTTTACCTATCACTTTTATTATATTTATTTAAAAATATGTATATATAAATAATGCACTTTTAAAACAAAATAGAAGATAAAATTATTAATATTTTAATATCATTTTGGAAAATTTCTCTACGCGCCCTTGACGAAAACAGTTAAATTTATTACATAGATGACGCAACGAAAAGCGTAATTATTATTGTGGGTCAGTCGACGCGACGCGAACTGTGTGCATTATTATTAGATGCGCTACGCAAAGCGTAGCTTACTATTGATCGCGCGACGCGACACGAACGACAAATTGATACTATATTTACGCGCGCGTCGCGACACACATATATAAAGATACGAGGTAATTGAAAAATATTTAAAAATTCTCATTAAAAATTTCAATTTTCTTTAACATTTTATTGTAGAAATAATAAAGAAATTAAAATAAAATGTTTTAACGCTAAGAATCAGAAAAAAAAGCAGCTTAAAAACCATTTTAAAAATAATCATTTTTTAATTAATTTTTTTACTTATTTACGTTTTAATTTAATTAAATTATTTTTTTTTCTTATAGAAATAAGTTATAAGAAATAAGAAAAAAATTTCTGAATTTTCTATTTTTTAAAAGCATTTTTCTATGTATATACTTATATGTATATAATTTATATTAGATTATTAGTCGAGTAACTCGAAAATAAAGAATGGCATCTGCCAAGAGACATTTTATGTTCGCTTTTTATAGACATTTTACTCATTACAACATAATTAAATGATGTTTAATTGTCGTAGAGAAGACCGTTTCCTTTAATGTAAAATGGCAGTCCAAGAGCCAGCAATTGTTTATTTTTATAAAAAGTAAATTCGGTAGTGATGTCCAACATCCATCCAAATAAAGAAACATTTTTATGTTCCAGAGCGGCAGAGATAGCAATTAACTATCTTCACCTTTACAGCTTCATCTCGAATGAAGCTGTAAAGATGAAGCTCTAAAGCTTCATTATTACAGCATCAGCTTCACATCATTTATTTGCTAATCCATACATTAAATAGCCTTTTCTAGAGAACATCTCTTCTACATTTACTTTTTACTTTATATTTTCATGTTTATTAACTATATCGATCTTTTTCGAACTTGTTTCTCATTACATCAATGCTTCTCGACTTTTTCTAATTAAGAGATTTCCCTTTCGGTATGTTAGAAGAACGTGACATCGAGCAGAAATGCGGTTTGGGAACGTTCTAGTAGTCCGCGAGACACTAGTTGCACAGCTTGTTTTTACATTATTTCGATTTTGGGCGTGTTTCTTAAATAATCATCTTTCAAAATTTTATTAGAAAACATAGAAAAGAGTAAATCATATTATGTAACAATATAAGTATTAAATTTTAGTTTTTTTAAGATGAAATAACTGAATTTAGAACTTTGAATAAAGCATCAAAAGTTGGAGCATTTCAACATATAAATAAGGCCTATATACTTTTTAACTGATGAAAATATTTTTAGCAACTTCCAAGATTTTCGTTAAGATGCTTCAACATCAAAAAAGCTACAGAACAATAGAAGAAGTAAAGAAGTAAATAATTACCCCAAGAGACGTCAGCCATTTTTTTTCTCTTGTGTTTTTCGAACCACTATCTTACTTCACTTATACATGTAATAGTTAATGCATGATAGACTCATTTATATATAAAATAACAGCGCCATTTATACAATTTTAATTTTATCCAAGAATAACATTAGAAAAACCTGTATTTTTTACTGTTGTCCAAACGAATATTAACACGCAAAAATAATGTGAACTTTAATTATTTAAAGTACCATTGAATGAAAGGTGTATACATGTTATTTTAATGAGTGTTATCAGTTAAATTTTTCATTGTAAGTACCATCTTTGCCTACTTCAGCATGTTCCAAAGAAAACGTGACTTGTGACGAAACTACTAACTCTCTTTTCTTTACTTAAAGATATATTGCGATCTAAGAATGCATTCAGCTTTACGACTTTGATATCAAAGATGCTAAGATTGCTATTTTATAGCAAAGAAAAAAAACGTATTTTTGGTTAGCCAGAATTTTATTTATTTTATTTACTTAATGCAGAATACTCTGCGATTCTAAGATTGAAAGAAAAAAAAACATATTGAAAATACATTTAAAATTCTTTAGCTTTATTTATTTTAATAAATATCGGCTAAATATGAAATTTTATTATTCTAAATTTACGTATATGGATCTTAAAATATTGTTATTACAGTAAATTTTTATAGTATATATTCATTGTGTTTCCATAGGAGAAATGCCTTCGTAATTATCATGAGAAACTTAAATATATAATAATTAAGTTTAAATAATAAAAACATTAAAAAGCTCAAAATATTATTATTAGATGCTATATGTAATTTTTTACTAATAAAGATATTTCGTAGAGATTATTAAATACAGTATTATAGAGTTCGTCCGCCATTTTAAAAACATGGCGGCTGTTAATAAGTCACAATTATTATATACAAAGTTTAAAGAATAGGTAGTTAATTGCAAAATAAATCATATTAGGAAATATTTTTTTCTTTTTTTAAAAAAACATTTTTAAAATTATAAAATTTGCATGATGCGACACAATACAATATCGTATCGCGGTGAGGCGCTGTTCGAAACCAAACTATTCGTGAATATTTGCGTCAGAAATTATTTCGTGATAAAATTTAATATTTTAAAAAACAAACTTCGTATGTAAAAAAAATACAAAAAAATACAAAAAGTTGATATAAAAACGAATTTAAATAATACATTATTATTTTTAGTAAAATAATTATGAAAATTAAATCAATAAACATTTCTACGAAAATATTAAATAGATAATTATATGCATTTATCTTATTTATTCGTTATATTTAATAATTGAAACAAAAGGAAAATCAATAACACGGAAATTTTTAAATCATGAAATATGTTCCTTACCCGTATAGCCATTGCCATCTGGTGATCGAATATTGAAGTATTTAATAGGAAAAAACATTTGATTTTATAATTTTTTAAAGTATAAATTATATTTAGTTATTTTAAAATTAATTTGTAAGAATTAAAAGCAATAACTATAAATATGATAAAATGTATAAAAATATATATGTGTTTTTTTCTAACCAGCAAAAAGAAACACATAAATGAGTAGAAATACAGTTACATCGCATCAATTAAAATGAAAATTTTTTATCTAACAATTATAAAAAATATAAAATAAAAATTTCTATAGTTTTTAAATTCCGCTTATAATTAAAACAATAATAAAATTATAAGCGGAATGCGATTGATATTAAAAATTATAAAATATCTGTTTTTTTAAAGATATAATTTTATTTTAATTAAATAAATATAATAATTTTTACGTCAAATAAAAACTAAATTGCTTTAAAAATATTATATTTAAGCTCAAAAAATATATTTGAAAATTATAGAAATTAAATGTGATATTTTTGCAACCAGGTGGCGTAGAATCGCTTTGCATGGCGGCATGTGGTTGTTGATGTTGTGAATGCGACCTGAAATAATAGAATATTTGAAGAAAAAATATAATAATAAAATATTATAATCTTAGTGATTTTTATTGAAAGGTAAGCTTACCAAAAACACTTATTAATATACTGAATATATTATAAAAATACCTTGTTTATAACTAGTGTCGTACAACATAAAGTCTATATACGACTCATAAATACAGATCAAATTAAATATTTTATGTAAAATATATTATCAATATGAAAAAATAGATTGACTCTAAGCAAAAAGACATTTCAGTACAAGTGTAAACTTTTAATTATTCACTCTGTTATGGTTAACACAGCAGATAATTCAATATATAGTAATTATCGCATGTTCTTCAGTTTAATTTTATGTATACATATACATTTGAATTATAACAGCCGAAGAGTTTACTTTATTTAAATTTTCTCTCAAAATCCAGTATTCAAAAGTTACCGTAATTGTTTCTAACTGTACAAATGCAAAAAGTGATCTTTGTCATAGTTTTCTGGGAGTTTTCATGTATTATTAAATGCAAGCATTGATTTGCACAATTTGTTATTAGAGAGTTAAAGATATGATACTTATCTCTTAAAGTTCTGCGTGGTGAGCACATTGTGTGGCACATCCCTTTCGACAGCCTGTATCCCACTGTGTGATAGACAAAATATGGTGTATTTCAGAGAATCAGAATTTACATTTGTTTTAATTTTATCAAGATGAAAAATAAAAAAGGAAACTTTTTGGAAATAGAAAAATACCATGCTAAAGTATCAAATTTGAAATAACACATTATTCAAAAATTCAGCATTAAATACAGCATTATGACACTTAACAAAATGATTTTTCTAAATACTGTAGAATCTAATTTTAATGGATTGTGGGACTGTGAACTTCTTGGAATAATGGATTTTTTCCAGGTCCCATCACATCAATTTAATTTTACCTTCTTTTAATGGATCCGTAAGTCAGAATAATGGATTCTTTTCTAGCCCCCATTTTTTTAAACTGATTTTGCAATGTTTATTTATTATTTGGGTATTTCTTGAAATTTGTAGAATTCAATGATGTACAGTACTTGTTACATCTGAGCAGTGCCATAACTAGGGCCTTGCCCATGCACAGGATGCAGAAATGACCCGGATCAAGTTTTGAGTCATAGTTTTGGGGCGTAGTTACAGAAGCTCGCACCAGGCGCATAAAAGGCTAGTTACAGCGCTGCATCTGAGATATGTATAACTGAAGAATTGTACAGTGTCGGTGGCTGATACAATTGAGGAACTATTTAATGAACATTCTGACACTGGGCCAAGTGTATTGCCAAAATTTAGTTAGGCTATTGACTCTCTCCAGTTGTGAAGATTGTCCTGATGAGTTTTGGCATAAATGAACAGTGTATTGTATATAACATTGCTAATATCAAGTGGTTGTTGTACTCAATGGGAAGAAATCTTCATCAAAACAAACCAACATGGATTAGTTTTTAAACAAATTATGAAGTTGGATGAAGTTTTAATGAACATATGTAATATGCCTCTTTTTGGGCTTACAGTATAAACAGTTTGTCAGGTTTGTTGTACACATGTACAGCATAATATATGATCTTGTAACATGTATTAATATATAAAATGAAGAATAGAGATCTCAAGAGATTGAATAATTTTAGTATAGATATTTCTTACATGTGGGGGGTTAAAAAAAGAAAATTTTTCCAAACAGGTATTTTCCTGGATGTGCAGAAAATCCATTGTTTGTGATATAATGGATGCTTGGAACAACAGATGATTTTCAGGTGGCTGAGCAATCTACTAAAATGAGATTCTGCTGTAGTACAAAGTATTAATTTAGTTGTTGTTATTATATATATTAATTAACATTCCTTGAATTAAAATTTATAGAAATATAACTTGCTTTTCTTTAATAGGAAGTCATTTCATTGGTTGCCAATGATTATAAATACTGGTAATTATAGAAATTATTTTCCATTAAAAATAATTTTCTTAATTCCAATTCATCAATATACCAAATTAGTTGTTTTCTTGATGTTCCACATTAAAAAATAGGCTTTTGTACTTTTATCCATCAATGTGTTTTCCATTTGTCTGTATACCAATGCTTACTGTATAACGTTTACTTATTTTGTTACACATTTTGTATTTTTTTCACTCTAAAGTTAAATTCATTATAATACCTTTTTTGTTAAAACATTTAAAATATAATACACCAAATTCATGCAGAATATAGAAAACATCAACTTCAGACATTGAAAAATTCTGAAAATTAATTAAATAATCTTTCCTCAAAAAGCTTTTCCATCAATACAAATGTCTACATCAAAGGCTTATTTGTATATTACCATATAATAAACACTGCATGGTAAGTTTGATTTGTTAAAAAAACAAATATTCTGATTGTAAGAACAAAAACTTATATTTAAATATTATTAAATCAAAGTAATCTTAGTTCAATCTTTTATTTGTATAAAACATTATTAATTCATTTGGTTGCTTGTTCAAGCTCATTACATTATTTCCGTAAGCTATGTGACATGATGCAACCTCAGAAAGCAACATGTAATAGACCATGTGGCACTTTAACAGATAAGTACCAAGTATACTTTTTTTTTTTTAATCATAAACTCCTAATGTTAAACTTTATTTTTTACCTATTATTTTATTTGATTTTACAATGAAATTTTTTGTGATCTACAATTTCAGAAACTTAACTGTGAAAGCTTAACAAGCGTTTTCAGAATTTAACTGAGAAATTTTTGTTTCTCTTTCATATTTTCCACAAATTGTATCTTCTAAATATTATTTCAATTTCTTTAAAATTATTTAAAGAAATAAATAAATAAATTTGAAAATATAAATTGAGAGAAACCACCATTAAGTGTTTTACAAATAAAAATTGTAAAAATGTTTTATATTAACATAAATTTTGATGAAAAAAGTTTTTAATATATATTTTATATAAAAAAATCTTTATATGCAAACCAGTATAATGCAGTAAAACATTCTTCTATTGAGAAAACTTTCCCTTTAACGATAGAATTGTGCCTTTCGGGGGAAAGTTTTGAATTGAAATAATGTGACCTCTGGTTTGCATTGGAAGTTCATATATAGTTAATCAGGGCTTCCTGCCCCTAAGGTTTCTATCTGGTCTTGACTTTCATGTATCTAACTCCATTCTCAAGATTAAGGAAAGACAGATGGATGGATGACAGTTATAGGTCTACAATTTTTTCAAATTGCAGTCCAATAAGTAATAAGATAGCAAATTTATAAAATTAAAAATTTGTAAATTGTTGATTTGGATGTAAGAAGAGAAAAGCAATATTATTATATTGCTCCCTAGTATTATAACATTTTAGTATTTTACTTTATTATTTTATGTTTATTTATTACAACTTTAATTTTTTTTTTTATTCAGGTGTTGATTTATAATATAAATGCAGAAATGTTACGAATTCATCAGCAAGTTATTGGTCTCTTACAAACAAATTACTTCAATGCTTTTCATATTCAAACAAGAGTAAGTAATTATATTTATCATTAAGAAATTAAATTAATAAGCAACTCTTAAAATTGGTTGCAAACACAAACAAACAAATCATGAAACCAGTATATCCAGCAGCAAAAATTATTTCAATAATTAAACTAATGTTTTAAAACCACCTTAATTGGTCACTCTACAGGAGAACATAAAATAAAATATAAAATTTATGAAAAGATGGAACATTAGTCTATTGGTTGGAGCCACATGTGTCATGGAGGAGATATGCATATCAAAAACATATAAATAAATATGTATGTAAAGTTGATAAAGGTGTGGTGTCCATTAGTGTATCTCCAAAAAAAAAAAACCACCAAACTGCAAAGATTTTTCTCTGTCTTTGTAATTGATGGCTGTTGCTCTTCTAGTTGCTTTGTAAATCTCTAGTTTTCAAGATGTTTTAATGAACATTCTGACACTGGGCCAAGTGTATTGCCAAAATTTAGTTAGGCTATTGACTCTCTCCAGTTGTGAAGATTGTCCTGATGAGTTTTGGCATAAATGAACAGTGTATTGTATATAACATTGCTAATATCAAGTGGTTGTTGTACTCAATGGGAAGAAATCTTCATCAAAACAAACCAACATGGATTAGTTTTTAAACAAATTATGAAGTTGGATGAAGTTTTAATGAACATATGTAATATGCCTCTTTTTGGGCTTACAGTATAAACAGTTTGTCAGGTTTGTTGTACACATGTACAGCATAATATATGATCTTGTAACATGTATTAATATATAAAATGAAGAATAGAGATCTCAAGAGATTGAATAATTTTAGTATAGATATTTCTTACATGTGGGGGGTTAAAAAAAGAAAATTTTTCCAAACAGGTATTTTCCTGGATGTGCAGAAAATCCATTGTTTGTGATATAATGGATGCTTGGAACAACAGATGATTTTCAGGTGGCTGAGCAATCTACTAAAATGAGATTCTGCTGTAGTACAAAGTATTAATTTAGTTGTTGTTATTATATATATTAATTAACATTCCTTGAATTAAAATTTATAGAAATATAACTTGCTTTTCTTTAATAGGAAGTCATTTCATTGGTTGCCAATGATTATAAATACTGGTAATTATAGAAATTATTTTCCATTAAAAATAATTTTCTTAATTCCAATTCATCAATATACCAAATTAGTTGTTTTCTTGATGTTCCACATTAAAAAATAGGCTTTTGTACTTTTATCCATCAATGTGTTTTCCATTTGTCTGTATACCAATGCTTACTGTATAACGTTTACTTATTTTGTTACACATTTTGTATTTTTTTCACTCTAAAGTTAAATTCATTATAATACCTTTTTTGTTAAAACATTTAAAATATAATACACCAAATTCATGCAGAATATAGAAAACATCAACTTCAGACATTGAAAAATTCTGAAAATTAATTAAATAATCTTTCCTCAAAAAGCTTTTCCATCAATACAAATGTCTACATCAAAGGCTTATTTGTATATTACCATATAATAAACACTGCATGGTAAGTTTGATTTGTTAAAAAAACAAATATTCTGATTGTAAGAACAAAAACTTATATTTAAATATTATTAAATCAAAGTAATCTTAGTTCAATCTTTTATTTGTATAAAACATTATTAATTCATTTGGTTGCTTGTTCAAGCTCATTACATTATTTCCGTAAGCTATGTGACATGATNTTTTAGCTTTCTCGCAAATAATTGCTTCTGATGCGTTGTCTCTGGCACATTGTTTTTCAGTTATCCAAAGCAAAAGCAATTTCTCAACATAATCTAATGTCTTTGATCTATGTTTAGAAATTGATTTAACCCCTTTCGCAACATTAGCAGATTCAATAATGTTTTTATTTTTCACGATTGTCGATATCATCGTTCTTGGAATATGGTATGCAACAGTTAATTAAAATCTCGAACACGCATGCCACCTTCATATTTCTCAACAGTATCTTTTATCAGTTCCATTGTGATTCTAGGCATTTTTTTAGTTTTCTGTTGCTTTTCATTTGCCTTCTTGCAATTCATGATTAATTAAAATAATAAAATGTTACTTACAAATTAAAATCAGAAGAAATTTAACAAAGTTATAAACCGTGGCACCATGAACGTCTAGTCTGGTCTAGTACACCGATAGTGCTACTTGTTCATAGATGGCATGTATAATTGAATTAAGTCGTATACCGAACAAAAGTTGTATACTGAGCAAAATTTGTTTTGTCCAAACAGGACAGATTCCGAATTGGACTTATTCTAAAGCAGACATATACCAAGGTTCCACTGTATCTGTATTAAAATTTCTGATAATTTAATATATTTTCTATATTCGTTTTATAAATTTACATTATAATTATATTAAGTTATTTCATGTTTATATTTATTATTTTTTACTTGTTAACCCCTAGAATACAGTTATTTTGAAGAGAAAATTTCCAATGAGATTGTTAAAAATAGGAGGTCCACCCAAAAGAGTAAAAAATAGAGAACGTATTTATGAAGTGATACAAAGTACTAGTTGTGAAAAGAAACCAGATATGAAAGTAATTTTGACTACTTTTGTTGAAGGTAAAGTTATTTTTTTATTATATTTCTGCTATTTTAAATTATAAGTCATATAAAATTTTAAATGTTTTTAGGTTATGGAAATAGGGGAGACATCATTTCAGTACGACCATATATAGGCAGAATAAAGTTAATACTCCCAAGACTTGCTACATATGCATCTGAAGAAAACATTGCTATGTTTGAAGAGGAAAGAAAGGTAGTAACACTTATAGTTATTGCTGAAATTGCAAATAAAGTTTTACTCTTAAAATATTTTAAGCTATATATTAATTACATGGTGTTTTTAAATATACATTTTAATCTTAAAATATTTTGAATATAGCTACATGAAATTAGATAATACAGAAAACCTTGTTAATTTGGACTTGGATAGTTCAAAATCCCATTAGTTTGTATACTATTTGTTCTGGCCAAGGATATAGAAGTTTATATGTTAAGGAATTTGGTTAGTTTGAAATTCAATGTGAAAATTCTGTCTGAACTATGTTATGCACATATTAACTCATATATTTAGATTGAAATTCAAGTACCTCCATACTGTAAGATAATAATAGTCCATGAATAACTCTGATCTGATTAACATGGCTTTATTTTTACAGTATCACATTTTTGGGTGTCATCTACTCTTTTTCTTTTATCTTAGCCTTCTTAGTTAAGATATAATTTTAAAAAATCTCATATTTTTTTATTGAATTGGACAAATTATGTCAAATTTTTTGTTGTTTGTAGAAATATTCTGGTGAACATTACAATTCTTAGATGTTAGTATTCATTTGCTTTATTGTATATCTTAATTTGTTCATTTTTTACTGCCAAAAGTAACAAATCCTGGACAGAATTTATTACTCATTAAAAGAGAGAGAATGATTTTAAATATTACATTTTTTAACAATTTTTTTAAACTTCAAGTTAATGTAAATTAATTTTTGGAAATGTATTATAATATTAAGAAAGATCTACATTTAAAAACATAAACATCATAAATTCTATAAATTAACTCTTTATGGTAAAATTTTTTTTTTATTTATAAATATTAACTTTACTTTATCAGAGACTAATAATTTTAAGCAGTTTACTATAACTAATTATGCTAATTTTATCAGTAGAGCCACAACTGTTTTAGTTAATGTCAGAAAGATTATTTCTAATTGTAAATATCTTAACTTGATTATTATTTTTTTAATTTTTAACTATTTCTGCTTTTAGGCTGGTCTACTTCCTCCATCTATACCATGCTCACGCTACATGTCTGAGGTTTGTATTTTGATAAATTTGAGAAGTGTGTTTCTTTTATTAACTGTTTAAAAATGTAGTCTGTACGTCAATAACTTTTTAGAAAATGAATTGTCTTAATTATTAAATTAATACTTAACAGATGAAACATGCAAAATCAAAATCATAAATGAAGTTTGAAGTTAGTTTTTCTAAATTACTAAACATTTGGCTTTTAACATCATAATATAATGTAAAAATATTTTTAAATGTTTTTATTTTTTGTATAAGTATTCAATGTTGCATATTTGTACATTTTTAAAACAAAATTTTAATACACTGATGTTCTTAAAAAGTATTCATGTGCTTACTGAAATTTGTTCACTTTTATAAAAATTGACACACCAAATATAAAAGGCTAACTTTATTAAAAGTTTTAAATTAATAATTAAATAAAAAATATTTGCAGTTGTTACAATTTCTGTTATAATTGTGTTTGATTTTTCATAAATTTGATATTTAATAGTCAAATCAAAAAGAATAATGAAAAAATAATATTTTTCAGAATCAGAAGTATTTGTCTACACATATTTTTCCTGTGGAGATGAACATGGAAGAACCTTGGACAATTGAACCTTGGCATATAAGAATTTCTTTTCGAAAAATGGTAAGTTTAATGTTTAACAAATGCTAAATAACTAGCTTAACATAAAACAAAAAAAAAATTGTTCATATGTATGTACGTAGGCTGTTTTTTTTTTCAAGCTCTGATCATAAAAAAACGACAAGTGTAAATAAAATGAATTTATTACCAAAAGTTAGGTACAAACATGGTTACTTTTCAACATAATCACCATGAAGATTGAGGCATTTGTAGTATCTGTGGACAAGCTTTTCCATCCCCTCTTCATAGAATGCTGCTGCCAATGACTTGAGATGGGCCCTGATGTTGTTTTGAAGATCGTCATTAGTCTCAAACCTCTGCCCTCCTAGCTACTTTTTCTGTTCAGGAAAGAGGTGGAAGTCACTCGGCACTAAATTGGGGCTATACACTGGGTGTTTAAAGGTGGTGAAGACGTCCACCCAGCTTGGAACTTTTTAGTGTGTGAAGACTTCCACCTCTTTCCTGAACTGAAAACATGGCTAGCAGGGCAGAGGTTTGAGACTAATGACGATCTTCAAAACAACATTGTTAAGGCCATCTCAATTCACTGGCAGCAACATTCTATGACAAGGGGATGGAAAAGCTTGTCCACAGATATGACAAATGCCTCAATCTTCATGGTGATTATGTCAAAAAGTAACCATGTTTGTACCTAACTTTTGGTAAAAAATTCATTTTGTTATTTACACTTGTCTTTGTTTTATGGACCATCGGAGCTTGAAAAAAATCTCTCTCATATATATACTTGGTTTGGAAAATAATGCACCATAGGTATACCTGATGAAGTAAGAATGCAGCCCAGCAATCACAATATGCAGAATTCTGTCAGTTTGTTATGTTATGCGAAAATAGGAATAGCAACCTTTGTATCACATATGTAAAATACTGATTGAGCAATTGATTACAATTGCTCAATCAGTATTTTAAATTGGAAATAAAATTACATGTTAATTTCATGTTACTTTGTTGAAATTAAGGAAAAAAGAATTTATCTTACAAACTCCAAGAAAAATGAAAGTATTGAAAAGGACATTTTACCTATTTCATAAGGTGTTTGAAATGGGCACTCTGCACTACCTGATAGTATGCAAGACAAATCATAAAATCTTCCTCAATCTTCCTAAGCCAGTCAACCATTATCTGTGTAAAAGCATCAGTTATGCATTGTCATAAATCTGTGACAATGCATAACTGATATGCATAACTTTCAACTACTGTTTGATAAACTCTGTCCTTTATGTAGCCTCAATAAAAAACAATACAGCAGCATCAAATTAAGAGAGTTGAGAGGCCTTGGATATGGATCTCTTCCACCAATCCATGTTCCTAGAAAAGTGGCATGTAACCATTCTCTAACTGGAATACCCTAGTGGGTGGTTACTCTAACATGTTGGTAGAAAATGTTATCAAGAGCTATGTCTGTGAACAATAGTCCAACATGTTCTGCTAAGAGCTCCAAGTACTTTTGAGAGTTAATGGTGTCATCAATAAAACATCCCAAGAACTCATCAGTCAAGTAATCCATCCCAAATGTTAACATTCTGTTGATGTAGAGTATACTTCACTTGCAAGTGATGTGGATTTTCCTGCATCCAGTAGTGCATGTTAGTGAAGAGTACCTCACCACAAACATAAAAGGACATTGCATCCAATAAGCAAATTGTCCTGAGAACAGTATAGGATCTGTGTTGACAAGATCCATAAATATTTCTTTGCAGTTTCCGTGAAAGCAATAAAATTTTTTTTATCAGCATGTATGATTATTTATGCAAAGTTTATCCTTGAACTGTAGTTTCAGGAAGAAGCTGTTGATGACATTGGGATTTATACAGATGATAGCAGAAACTCTTGAGAATAGTATGCATAGATGTTGACCCAATTTATGCCTCCACAGGTCAAATGGAAGTAGTTGAGATTACTGTGAATGTGGGTATGATGTCCTTAGCTGTGTTGTCCATTGTACAACTCCTGGGCCTCCCAGATGGTAGTGCATCATCCAAGTCATTCATGTGATAAAATTTAGCTACCATTCTTAAGATTGTATTATGTTGGAGATAGGACCAATTGGGATGTAATGCATGGAACCACACTGCAACATCACTGAAGGTATATCTTGCTTCTCAATTTTTGTGTATCTCATTCTTTCATACACTGTTTGCACTCTGCTAAACAAACTTTAAATATCTGTGTGGTGTAACAGAATACTACCACCACAGACATAACAATTTGCATAATTACCATAACAATAGATCTTTGCAAAGAATATCTTTACTACTGATTATTGAAAACTGGCATCAGGAATTACAGCAATTTTTGAAAGCACTTTATAAATGTACACTCTGCAAACTTATCACAGATAGAAGATATGTATGATCATCCATCAGGTTAATGTTGTCAGGTACTGTATACATACTACAGGAGCATCTGACAACGTTAAGAATGCCATCCAATGACTGACTGTCAAATATTGAAGTCATCAATGCTTTGCTGGATGGCATTCTTACTTCATCAGGTGCTCTCTATAGTGCATTATTTTCCAAACACCCAGTATATATACACATTTGATAATCCTTCCATTTATGCAAATTTATTTTAATGTGGTTGAAAAATTTTTAACTTTTAAATAATTAACTTGGTAATAAATGGAATTAACTGATAGTTCAAAAGTTGTATTTTTTTAATCTTATATAGATGTATATTTAAAAAAGAAACTTAAGTTAAAACTCAAATAGAGAAAAATACTGTATTTGAAAATAATATATCTATATTTTAAACTACTTTCCATGGCTTCATTTATGTAGTTTTTATTTAAGTGCTTTTTTGTGGAACCAATTACATGAATGGAGGGATTACTGTATTCAATACAGATTATTATACAGTGGTGTGCTGTCCATGGAAGCTGTAGAAGCACCGCTTCCATTTTGTATTTTCTAAAATATAAATATATATTGTGCGATTATTTTCATATTTTAATGTACTTTGAATTAATTAAAATTAATATTTATTATAACCACATTATGTATTTTATTACAAATTTCTGTATATGCGAAAAACAATGATAAGAGTGCTATTGTGTATTCAAATATAAAATCATATACAGATATACCTCGACTTATGTCGTTTCGAGTTACGTCGTTCCCGATTATACGTCGTTTGTCAAAAAAGTATATGGAAAAATAAAAATCAAGTTTAAGTCATTTTATTCGACTTTACGTCTGTCCGCCACAAATATTGAAGTTGTAATATCATTAGAAAAGCGTTTAAAGCACATAAAATCATATTAAAATATATATACATTTACAAGTATGTACTGTATTTACAGTACATGCATTCGTAAATTTAGATTACTTTTTTCTGTACTATATTAAAAACTAAAATTTATTTGTTTGTAAGCTTAAAATAGAT